CTGGGGATATTCTAAAGAGCTGGGCTGCTTCTAAGGCTTTAATTTACACACACACACACACACACACACACAGAGAGAGAGAGAGAGAGAGAGAGAGACAGAGACAGAGACAGAGACAGAGACAGAGACAGAGACAGACAGAGAGACAGAGAGACAGAGAGAAAGAGACAGAGATAGAGAGAGACAGACAGACAGAGACAGAGAGAGACAGAGACAGAAAGAACCACACTGATGCCTACATAAAGAAGAGCATCCAAGATTGCACAGAGCACAGTGTTTCCAGCCTGTTGTACCTTAGGACACTAATGGACATGGAGATGCCAGGATGTTGGATAAAGTGGATAAGGAAGCTGATCAGAATCCGTTGTAGCCACTGTGCAACAGTGGCTTGAGTAAAAGGTGCTGTCTCCTTCAGCACAGACTGTTAGAAATAGAAGAGCTCAGTGGGGCTATGTCTTTGCCTTCTCCTGCTCTTCTTCCTACCCTCCTCTCCTCTTCTGTCAACTCCAGCCCACTGCCTACCTGTTCTTTCATGTTGGACCTGTTACTTTGTGCCTGTGACAACATGGTATGTCACGGTGGGGACATGTGATGGAGAAGCTTCTTCACCTCAGGGCAGTTGGAAAGCAAAGAGAGAAATAAGAAGGGTTCTGGTCCCATGTACTCCTCAAGGCCATTGACCTAGCTTCATTCTAGTAGGTTCTATCACCTAGCTGTTCGATCACTAGGCCAGGAAACAAGGCTTAACATAGGGGCCCGTAGGAGACATTGAAGATCCAAGCTATAGCTGGGGTCATCTGGAAGCCCCCTGCCTTCCTCCTCCTCCTCCTCCTCCTCCTCCTCCTCCTCCTCCTCCTCCTCCTCCCTCTCTACTGTTTCATTATGATCTAAGCATAGAGCTTCTAAATGATCCAGTTCAAGCATAGGCCAATGCCAGCAGAGAGTGCTGAGGATGGGAGATTTCTGATTTCTGGGCCCAGTGGGCCCACACCGGAGGGTGTGGGGAGACAGCCTAGCTATGATCCCTCTGGCTGGGAGGCTTACCTGAGCCACCCCATCAGAGAGCCTGGTTTCCATGCTGAAATTTGTTTGCTTGGCCAGCAGCACTGGGAGTTAATATTTCTCTGTGTGTGTTTAGGAATTAATTTCTACTAAACTTAATCACCCCCTCTCCCCTACCCTCTCCCTCACCCCCTTCCTTCTCCATTCCTTTCCCTTCTAATTTTCCACTTGGCTGGGAATTCTCCAGCAGTGAAAGTTCAGGCTTAGGGGAGGGCGGAGGTAACTGCTTCATTAGAGAGGATAATCTCATTGGAACCACTGGCTTGAATAATAACCCCTTGCAGGGGCCCGGGGCCTTTCTCTCTAGAGCTCATAGAACCTCTGATCTAGGGCCGTACGGGCCCAGTGCACAGGAAGTGGGATGAGGAAGGGAAGAAAGGCGGCTCAGTAAAGAAGACCTTAACTCTCGGGCTGAGGGAGGTGGGTCCCCTTGGAGCCCGCTGGTCACCCGCGTTTCTGTGTTTGGGGCAGAGGCCACTATGGGGATGACAGAGACAAATGCCTGAAAACTCATGCATTTTGTGAGTCTGCATAAGCACCCATTCCCCGACCTAAGAAATGGATGAGATGGATGAAGCGGGACCCTGATGCCTCTACTGCCTGGGGGAGAGCTCTGCTTTCCCAAGTACTGGAGCCCTTGGTAGGAAGCAATTTGGGAGCTCTTCTAGGACCAGAAATGAACCCCGTTTATATTCTCTAACTTTGGCATGCGTCACTAGAAAACCACAGCCTCAAAAGGCTAAAGACTATTATCTTGATAGACCCCATGAGATACTAGAAGTCGTGGCCCTTCCCTGCCATCATCCCATCCCATTTAAGGTCAATTGTCTGTGTTTTTGGACATTCACAGCCTCCACACTCCTGAACCATGCAGGATGCTAGAAATGTCAAAACATCCCTGGTTCTGACCTTAAACTTTCCACTGAGACAGAGCTCAGTTCTCGACACACTTTTGATAGCTGTTAAGGAAAGGAAGCTATAACCCCCGGTAGCATGCTGTCACTCTCCTGCCCTTCCTGGTGCTGAGCCTCCCTCCGCCTTTAGCCCTTCTCCCTTTGACGTGCCAATGAACTGGTCTACATCAGCTGCAGTTTAGGGCCATGGACTGAGGAAATTAGGGAAGTGATGGGGTAATACTTGCTGACACCTCTCCTCTCTAAGCTATGCCCAATTCTAACTGCTTAGCACACACTATCTCGTGGAATCTTCAGGAAACTCCAGCTCTGTGATACCATTTTGTTCCCATTTTAGAGAAGAAAAGACTGATGCACCAAGAGGTTAAGCATTTGGCCTTGATGCTCAAAGCTGTAAATTACACATGGCTTCTTGTAGTCTGTATTTTCTAGGACTGTGGTGAGATGCAGCCCTAGGAATCCGGGTAACAGCAAACAGTGCAAGTCAGATGTGTTCCCACCTATGCCTCCTCCCCCAACCTGGGAGAGAGATAGAGCTCCTCTGTTCTATTTAGTAACTTCCAGTGCTGTTTGGCCTGGAAGCAGCTTCACCCCCTCCCCCCCACCCTCAACACACACACTTTATAATTTAATCAAAGACACTCTTTTCAGACCCACTGATTGCTCTTGGAAACAGGAACTTCAAAGTTGGGGAGTCAGTGAATAATTGAAGCTGTACCAGTTCTCTGGGTCTACTGTTAATGGGCGTAATAACACTATTAATAGCGATGTCAGCTCAGACACTCTGGAAAAGTCCATAACATTAGCCTAATGGCTGACGGTAATGGAGTCCTTGCCGAGGAGCTGGCCTGGTAAATTAACTCCCAAGACTTAGAGGCAGACACTCTGGTTGCCAGTGGTTTGCTCGAGCCGCCAGAGAATGCCGTGGGGACCCCCAGACTCATTCCTGACCTCATCCTTCTGGCTTGGGGTCCCTTGAATTCATCCCAGGGAGTTCAGGTTTGTCCAACAACTATGGATGATAGTTGGGTGCTTTCTTCTGAGGTGCTTTCTTCCTCCTTCCTAGGAGGAATGGTGGAGAGGCAATGTCTAGATAGAGCCTTAAGGATGTAAGAGAAACATTAAGACTGCAAGGCACATGGGTTTAGTCTGCAAGGCGGTCTGTGGCCTTCTTAATCTGGAAGCTTCTGGAAGCTCAGCACAGTTGTAAAGAGCAGAGTTTCTAAGTTTGCCTGGGCTGGATGTAGACTTGGGTTAGCTGTGACCTGGATGAAGAAGTGACCCACTCATCCTCTTCTATGCTTTCTCAACCTCTAAGATGACTTGGCCACAGGAAACTTAAATGTCATAAAATGCAAAGCCTTATCACAGTGTTGTAAGCACATAGTAACTAGTGGTCACAGTTGCATTATGTAGAGTTGGGTTGACTTCTGTGTCACCCATCCATCTTACTGCAAGGCCCTCCTTCTGCCTCAGTCTCCCTTTTACTACCTCTCCATTCCAGGGCAGCATTGGCTGTCACCTTCAGTGTTTTCCCCTTAGTTAGCTAGCCTCTCCCCTCTAGCTCTGCACTCGGTGGCCATCCCTCCAACTGTGGTGTCTTCTTTCACTCTGACTAGGAGGACAGACCACAGCTTTCTTCCAGGACTAAGAGCTGGCCTACAAGCCACCCAGGATACCCTGGCACCTCCCTCCCTTCCTTTCTTGCCCCACCCCCCACCTCTCTGCCTTTCCAGAAGAAAGTTCTCCTCCCATGTCCCCTCCTCATGTTGCTTCCTGTCCCTTGCTGCTGTTTCCTTCTGTCACTTTGCCCAGGCTTCTCTCTACAGCTCCTGATGTCATCAGGAGTGATTTCCCTGCAGCCTCAGCTCATCTCAGCTTGTCCTCTAGAGCAGCTCGCCCACCTGCACTACACAATAAAATCCATATTCCAGAGTGACCAAGTTCTGGCCCCTGGGCACAGCTCTTCAGTTTGTAAGGTTTATCTGCCTTGGGTTCAGTACTGTTCCCATGATACCTTCATGCAGAGAACTTGGGGATGCGCACAATTGGGCACAGACCCTGTTTTGACGTGCATCATTCTCAAGCCCTAGTCAGTGATGACTGTTAAGAGCCAAGGCCACACTGGATGTGGTGCACCTGGGACACAGCACACTTTGTACAACCCAGGGCATTAAACAGTGATAGAAACACTCATGTAGCAGTTCCCCAGTGCCACAGAACTGGAGTTCTGATGCTATTAGTTACTATCCTCTGTTCCTTTGATCCTCTCTGCTCTCTCTCTCTCTCTCTCTCTCTCTCTCTCTCTCTCGCTCTCGCTCTCGCTCTCGCTCTCGCTCTCGCTCTCGCTCTCGCTCTCTCTCGCTCTCGCTCTCGCTCTCGCTCTCTCTCGCTCTCTTGCTTTCTTCTCCCTGCATTTATCTCCATTGCTAGAATGTATTCAGAGAATTACAGAAGAAATTGAACAATGTTTCATCTCTTGAGAAGCTCCCACTTAGTAGGAGAGGGTTACTTTTAGCCCAAAAATCATCATAAAACAAGAAGTTTTAGGCTGTGAGAAACTCCAGGATGCTATGGAGGAAATAAGGAGGAATTTCATATCTGCCTTGGGTTGAGGCAGGAGGATTGCAAGTACAAAAGAGCTAAACTAGTCTGTCTGTAGATCTAGATGGAATCGGACAGGAATTGGACAGACATGGAAACCCAGACAGAACTGGGTGTACAAAAGCAATACAATATGTATCATGTACTACACGTCGTATGTGGGGAGAAGTGAGGTTTGCATAAAAAAGGGGGTGGAGGGTGTCAGAGGCTGTGGATGAACAGAAAGTAGACTAGACAAGACTGTGTGACTCCTCATGTGCCTCTGAAGGTGAGGGGAATTGCTGCCTTTTCCAAAGCTGAGCATGATAGAAGCTTGAAGAGGAAGGGAAGTGAGCACTTTAGGTTTAGACAGGCCCCAAGAGCTTCTGGATATGGCAGTCCCTTTCTGGGCCATTGATGATCCTTGTGTGTCCTTCCTAGGTGCACCCGGAAGGAACGGTGTGAGCGCTCCAGGGAACCTCGAAGGTTTGCCTCAGAGATGAAGCAGTGTGTCCGGCTGACAGTCCATCCCAACAACATCTCTGTCTCTCAGTACAATGTGCTGGTAAGGGAGGGGAGGTCAGAATCCAGGGAAGAACTCTGCCCCAACAGAAAGCACCAAGGCCTCTTGGGACAGCTCTAGATCAGGGTCAGAGATGTTAGTGAAGAAGTGTCTACTGGGAACCCAAGAAAGGTGGCATGGGCAAGAGTATTGAAGAAAAGGTTCCACTTCCACAAGGAAGTGACCATATCAAAGGTGATCAAGGCATACAAATTAAGGCTACACTGAAATTCCATCTCACTCCAGTCAGTATGGCAGTCGTTAAGAAAACAACTAAAAACAAAATGCTGATAGCAATTTAAACTAGTCTAGGCACTATGGAAATTGGTGCAGAGGTTCCTCAAAAAAAAAAAAAAGTAGACCCCCCCCCATATGACCCAGATATAGTACTCACTCCTATGTGATACTTGAACATGGATGTTTTCAGTCATAAAGAAGAGCAAATCCATGCCATTTGCTGAAAAATGGGTGCAACAAGATATTATTAACTGAATTTAGATCTGTCTCAGAAAGGCAAATACCATGTTTCTCTCATTTGTGAGTCCTAGATTTTATAGAGACATAAAATCATATATTTATATGTGACATAAAAGTGGAAGCTATAAAAAGAGGGGAAATGGGACTAACCAGAAAGTGAGAGATGGAAATGGGGAGAGTGGTGGAGCATGGGGGATATGCTCAAAATATATATTTGCAGGAAAACAGCATTATATTACCAAACATAAAAAAGTGTAATATTTTATTATAACATAAAATATGCCATGGGTATACCTAAATATCCATTAGCCAATTTGGGTTTAATTGGCATGCAAGTAAATATAGAATGATAGACTAAGACCATGGAGCAATGAGTGTTGGGAATGACCCCTTTATCTATAAAGGAGGCCAATGTGGGTCCATCAGGAGAATGATTTACAGACTTCTGAGTCCTAGCACTAAGCATGTGGTCATTAGTGTTCTCATTTTACCAAATGGAAGAGGTGGCCTATCAGCCAACCTGGTCCTGCTCAGAATTCTTCTAGCACACAAATCCCCTAAGCATTCCCGCTTTCTGGGGCCACATCCACTCAGATCCTAGTGGGTTTCTTCAGTCTCTGCCTCTGCCTCCCACTGCCTTCTCTACACCACTCTTGTAACAAACTGATCTGTGGTAATAACTCTCCTTTGTCTGTCTCTTTCTCTGCCTGCTGCCTTTCTTCCTTCTGTTCCCCATTCCCCCTCCTCTCCTCTTTCCCCCTGCCTGGCTGGCCTGTTCACAGCTGGTCCTAGAGACATACAATGTTCCGGAGCTGTCAGCAGGTGTCAACTGTACCTTTGAGGATCTGTCAGAGATGGATGGGCTGGTAATAGGCAATCAGGTCCAATGCTACTCCCCTGCAGCCAAGGAGGTGCCCCGCATCATCACAGAAAATGGTGAGCAAGCAGTCCCTGGAGGCGAAGTTGGATGGCAGACTCTTCACTGTGCCTGGGGAGCAGAACTCATGACAGAAGTGGGGGGTTGAGGGAGCCTAGGGGCAGGGATAAGTCAGAGGGAGTGGGCTGACGGTTGAAAGGGGTAGAGGTGAGCTTTTCCTCTTTTACCCTTGGAAATTGACTGGTGCAACCCTTCTGTCTCAGCCCCAGCTTAGCAACCGAATGTCTGCCTCATCCTAGATGAGGAGAAGCGACAGAGAAGGTAGTTAGAGGCCAGGCCAGAAGAGCAGTGGTGTGTATTGGCGGTGTTCTTGTTTTAGCTGCCCTGGGAGGGAGAGGGAGGACTGGGGAAGAGGGAAGCTAGCCAGAAGCAAGGGTATAATGGGGCAGGTCCAGTGGTTCCGTAACCCTTCGTTCACAGTCACGTGAGTAGGTCCCTGACTCTAGGGCACTTTGTCCCCACTGTCCCACACACAGCTGCCTGTTGCTTGGAACCAACTCTGTTGGGAAGGATGTGCGAGGACACAGGCTTGACACTGGTGAGGGACAGGCTGGCCTAGGCAGATTGATTCCGTGTTGTCCCTCCCATTTGGGCTTGTCACATTTATTCAGAGCTGATTGATTAATGAGGCTCCTGGGGAAGGCAGAGAGCAAGGCTGGAAGTGGGGTCCAGGGTCAGGGCTGTGAATTAAACATGGGCTCCAATGCCTCTTTGGCGCCAGCTGAGGGGTCTTATACCCCTCACCCCTCTGGAGCCAAGTCCCCCAGAGGAGATAGTATCAGGCCTAGGTCTCTCTGCACAGAGGTCAGGTGCACATATTTACACATATATGCAGTGCCACTTTGTGCCACTGGCAACAGCTTTCCTGAGATCGTACATTTTTTTTCCCTCCTTGGCTACTCATCACTGTTTGTGATTCTGAGAGGCTTTTAAACACAGCATGTGAGGGGGTGGGTGCGCACCCACGAGCTCAAGATAAGTGACTGGGGGTCCGGTGATATAACAGAGAAGGGAGACCAAACATAACTTGGTTGGGGGTGGGTGCGGGGAGTGGGGTAGATTCATCCTGGAATTGAACCTTGCTGACTCGGGGGCCTATGAAACCTGACAGTGTCCCAGAGGAGCAGGCTCTCTTTCCTGGAGCGCATTGCTGCTCATGGACCTTTGGCTCGGGTTCTGAACTTCCCCGGGCCCCGCTGGCGGGCTCTACCTTATAGGAGACCATCATGTTGTCCAGCTGCAGCTCAAGTCGAAGGAGACGGGCGTGACCTTCGCCAGCACCAGCTTTGTCTTCTACAACTGCAGCGTCCACACCTCGTGAGTGCCCTGGCTTTACTCAGCTTGCTGTTCCTAGGGTCAAGGCTCACTCAGAGATCAGAAGACCCCGCGATGATTTCAAGGGATCATTGTATGGAGGCTTCCAAAGAGGCCTCCTTAATGCTAGAAGATGGGCCTCTCTCCTGTACTGATAGGGTGAATGGAAAGAGACTAGAAAGAGACAAAAGTGGGAGCCTACGGTGTGAGCCCTGCAAATCCCTAGCCCGTGCATCTTCCCTGGCAGAAGTCTTCTAGCCTGATGATTCCCTTCCCACCATTGTACTAGGGGTGATGTAGCTCACCCGAAGGACGGCAGTTCACACCTACACAGAGGAGGGATCAGAGAAGGGAGGGCAGCCTTTACATGTATCCAGGAGAGGTCAGGTCGTCTAGCAAGTCAAGTAAACGTCCCACCCTATAAACTGGGTCAGGACTCATATAGGCTGATAAGTGCAAAAGGAATGTCAAAAGAGAGAGTGGCTGAGGCCTCACTATGGAGATACAGAAACCTGATTCTGGCTTTGTTTGGCTTTGGCATCTCCCACCTCTAAATAGTCATCATGGACAGCAGATTAGCTAGAGGATTTGACCATTCTTTGCACTAGTGTCATCTATAAAAGGGGACCTAGAGGTACTGGTACCACAATAGTTAGCGACTGGCCTGTGTTAGTTAATTTTCTAATCGCTGTGACAGAATACTTGGTGAAAGTCACCTAAGGGAGGAAAAATTGACTATGGCTCATGATTCACAGCATACAGTCCATCATGATGGGGACATCATGGCGGTTTGTCTGCAGCAGTGAGAGCTTGTAGAACGGCTTCTCGCATCTTGGCAAGTCAGGAAGCCGAACTGTCAGGCCAAAACCAGAAGTGGGAATCTTCAAGGCCTGTTTCCGGTGACCCTTTTCTGCTACCCAGGTCACAGTCCCCAAGATTGCACAAATTTCCCAAAACAGTACCACCAACTAGGGACCAAGAGTTCCAGCAGAGGATCCTGTGGGGACATTTGACATTCAAATTGCAACATGACACCCCAGGAGCACTGACTGTCCTATTGAGCAGTCCCTGGTTGGGACACTGCTGTTGCCGACTGTACAGCAGACTTGACTCTCACGGGATGGCTCTAAGGAGGAAAAGAGCCATTGCAAGGCAACCTTTAGAACCCCATGTGGCTCGTTGACTGGGTAGTACTCTTGCCTTTTGCTATGGTTATGTTGCTATTTCCTCTATGAAAGAATGAGATTGAACCAGATTGGAGCTGTACAATTTTAATTTTCCTTACCATAGAAACTGGAATTAGGTGTGGAAGTCCAATATGCAAAACAGATGGGAGAAGAGACTGTTGACTAGGGGAATCATGAGTCCAGGAGCCCCTATATCTAGGAGCCCCATGAGACTGTATATAGTCTCCAAAGGAGCTCTGTAGAACCTTTAGGGTTCCATAGAGAGAGTTTGGAAAACACATTGCCTGAACCCCCAACATTCCTGTTTGCCTTAGCATACTGTTTGCATTCCTCTCTTTACAAAGTAGGTATGTAACATGACATTTAGGGGACTCTAATCTGATTTAAAAAAAAAAGTTAGGGCTCATGTACGGTATCTGTGAGACTAGAGCTTAACTTACTTTGGGACCCCAAGGAAGGAAGCATCTATCCTGCCCAGGCCCCAATCAGATGTGACGTTTCCATCCCATCCACAGTGTTACTCATCAGATAGAGGAGTCACAAATTAATAAGACCCCAGCACTCAGGCCCTGCCCTCCACTGGAACCAATACCTGCCCAATTACTAGGTTTGCAGCCTAGTAGCCTCATGGAAGAACTTGATGTTTAATGATGAACTAGAACACCAAGCAGTTAGGAGTATCCCCGCACAGAGGTTTACAAAATGAGGACCCAGAGGGACCAACTCTCCTTTGGCCAAAGATTGGTCAAGTGGAGGAAAACAGAAAGCTCCAACAGATGGTAGAACCGCCTGTGGAGAGCATGGGGCCTGCTCAAGGCAGCAGCACCTTAAGCACAGCAGCAGCAGTGAGAAGGGTGGTGCTCAGGGCAGCTCTACCTGTGTGGCAAGGCCTTTGAGCTTGTGACAATAGGGAACCATGCTGGGTTTTTAAGCAACATAAGGCTGGCTCTTACAAAGTTGCCTGTTTCCTGGAGGTAAAGAGTGGGATGGCAACTGTGCGGGGACACACAGTGTGGAGACTGGAACCTTGATAGCTTCCATTGTTACCAGAGCACCATTGGTGCAGGCCCTTATCAGTGAGACTCAGAGGCAATTTCAATTAAAACCCGATTTGGGGGTTGTCCTCGTTCCTATAGACTTCAGTCCTTATTGATCTTCTATTTAGCAAAGAACCATGTCAACTAATGGGGGTAGAGGGAGGCTCACCAGGCCTTGGAGGAAATGGGTTCCAGCTCTGAGTGAGGAGCTCATTTCCTGAGGCCTTGAGAAGAGAAGAAGGGCAGATTTGTATGAAGCCTTCCTTTGCTCATCATTCAAGGGTTGTCTCCTTTACTAGCAAAATGTTCTGCTAGCGTCTAGAGATGTGGGTGCTTGGGCTGAAGTTCTAAGATGTGTGCTTCTTCCCTGTGCCCAGATGTCTGTCCTGTGTGGAGAGCCCATACCGCTGCCACTGGTGTAAATACCGACACGTTTGCACTCATGACCCCAACACATGCTCCTTCCAGGAGGGCCGAGTGAAGCTGCCCGAGGTAGGTTCCAGCAGCGGGATGGTGAGAGGCGCTGCTCGTAAGCATGAAACACATGTGTGGCCCTTCTCTTGAGAGGGAAAACCAAGAAAAGATCCCAGGGATTTCTTCTTTCCTCCCTAACCTTGACTCTTCAGGCACACTGTATGAAAGCAATAGATGAGTTCAGCCCTGCATTGACGCCATGGTTCTGGCTCAGCTGGGAGGTTCAGGTACAAATGTGTGAGTGTAAGTATGTATGTGTGAGTTCTTACCTTTGTCTAATATAAATGGAATTAACATGAAGGGACACGAGTCAGGCAGCCAGTGGGCCACTGTGGCATGAAAAGCTGGAAAAGGATGATAGTCTCATCTACATGGCTGGGTCTTGATCTTGAGGACAGGGGCAGAAGGGTAGATTGACTCCCTTAAGGTCAGGTGTCAAGGCTCCAGGCAACGCCCATCTGAAATCTGCCCGGAACATGATAGAAGTCAGACAAAGTGGCTTTCAGGGTCTCTCCCGCTCTCAGAATAGTGAACCTGACCAAAGTTTGGGAACAGAAAGGCCCAAGACAAACAGGAGAATAAAAACAATGGACTTTGGGGGTTGCAAACGCCTCCCACTGCTCCCTTACCTTGGAGGAGGCTTGCAATTGCTTTGCTCTCTTGCTCATTTTCTTTCCTGTTCTCTTGTGGCAAGGTTGTCTTCAAGGCTTAGAAAGAAAGGCTAAAGGAACCAAAAGAGAGCAAAGTAAGAGCTACCAGCTTTCCCAGAACAATGGTGGGCTGTCTGTAAGAGATGGTGCTTCCAAGTACAAGGCCTGTTCACACCAGGCTTTGTCAGAATCTGCTGGGGATCCATGGCTGCTCCAGGGACTGGACAGCAGACTCCTGAGAAAGGAACAGGCTTTGAGAACCATAGCTAACTACACGGGCATGGAGACAGATCCAGCCATTGTCATTGCCCTTCAATTCTTTCCGTTTTCCATAAGCTGGGCGTGGTTACCAGGCAAGCCCCTGGAGTCTGAGAGGCCAGCATAACTCAGAATCTTCATTTCTCCCTACTACAGTATCACATGGGATGGACTTGGGCTCTTCTTTGTCTTGGATTTCTGCTTATTTTAAGAGAAAGAAGTTCTAAGAGTTTGTTTCTGGTCCAACTACATCCCAGGGCCATTTTGAAGTGAGCATAGAGGAAGAGGCTAAGTTGATTACTTCATGTGGTTGCTGTGGCAACGTCTTCCTAGTGGATGGATGTACCAAACGGGAACTAAGCAAATAAACGTTTGTGAACTATTGACTAAGTCTAGCTTTTTGGGTTCAGTGAGAGAAGACCATTGTTTTCAGAACTCAAAACAGAATCTCTGCCTCCTAGTGTAAATGCGGCATTTTTCAATGCCATTGGCTTTTTGTTTGTTTGTTTTCCTACATAACAACCGCAGGAATAAAGGATACAAAGGGAAAGTATGCAACAGAAAGAGAGCTTGGTCGTTGGTGTTTTTTATCCGATGCCAGAGAAGTTATTCACAGGCCAGCCATCTAAACTTCTGCCATGGTGATGGTCAGCTTTCTGATACTATTGCAGACGCCTGAGATAAAACAACTTACAAAGAGGGAAGGTGGGTGCAGAAAGATTTCAAAAGCCGAAGGACTGGGGAGTTTGCTGTGAGGCTGTCTCCTAGGAAAGTCAGAAACTTCTCCCAGAGTGTCACCAACATGACTGCCCAGACATGAGCTGAACAACGACAGGAGACATGCCAAAGTGGATGGGGATAAACCTACTCCTGAGGCCTCAACCCCACACAAAGAATTGCAGACAACTAAGGAACGCTGAGAGCAGGAGAAAGATTCTCCCCCTGGAAGAGCACACCAGTTGGTTTTCCAATGCCGAAAGGTCAGCCCTGAAAACACACATGAGTAACATGTTCAGACTGAACAGGTTATATTAAGGAATATATATATATCAACAATTAATGAAAAAAAGCCATGAACTTAACAGAGAGCAAGGAAGGGGTATTTTGAGGACTTGGAGAGAGGAAAGGGAAGGGGGAAATGATGTAGTTAAAATATATTATAATCTCAAAAAAATAAAAGAAAAAATGAAAAACAAACAAAACAAGAGCAAAGGTCTATTTTGGTCCATAGTTTTGGAGTTTTTAATCTATGTTTGGAAGGACCTGTTTCCTTTCAGACCTGCTGGAAGGCACCTTACTTCATGATGGTCAAAGAGTAGGAAAGAAAAGAAAAGAGAAAAAAGAAAAGAAATGGACCAAGCCCCACAATTCCCTTCAAGGACACACCCCCTAAGACTTTCCAGTAAAACCTCCCTTCAAGTTCCCACTGCCCGCTCCCTGTAGCATCACTCTGGAGCATAAGCCTTAAGAACATAGGCTTTAGTGGGACATTCCAGCCCCAACCTACAGCGACTGTGAAGCCACTGTTACCTTACGGTGCCTTAGAGCCTTTGTGCTTAAGCTGCTGAGGCTTACAGGCATATAATGAGATCTTCAGATCTGCATTTGATAGGACACCACCGGCCTACACGACCTCTAGGTTTCCATACTTGCAGATAAACACGGGCTTGAGTGCACTTAAGAGAAATCCACAGCCAAGAAGTGTTCTCATAGGGCAAGGGTGCAGTGAATGTTCTTATAGAATGAGTACCTAGTCAATGTCCAGTTAAGGCTTAGGGCTCCAGATGGCATCTGACTCGGTGTCTCCTGGTCTTAGAGCCTGAAGTTCCTCTAGACACCTGGGCCCAGACCCTCTTGGAATGCTGGTGAGACTCAGGCCTCAATGATTCTTCTCAAAGTCCTCAGGTTCACACTCACTTTTACCGGTGAGGCTATGCAGAGAGGGTCCTTTTGTTTAGCCACGAGGGAGGCTGCCAGGTGGCTTTTCATCTGCGCTGCCCCATCTTGTATCCCCAGGAATGCTTTCATCCTTCCTCTTCCAGTTTCAACACTGGCTTCACTGGCTATCACCAGGGGTGTTGAATTACTTCTTTCCCTCGGAACAAAGAGCACGTTCAGGCGAAGTTATTGGTCTGCAATGGAGAACTGGTGGACCATTGTAGTTGTGTTATGAACAGCAAGTATTCAGGCATAATTACAATGATTAGAAATAGAATGCCCAGTAACATATGTCGTTTATAGTAACTATATCCCAGTTACAAGGGATGGTTTTGTTTCAACTAATGATGGCATTGTGATAACAACGTAGACCCTTAGATCGGCTGCCAGAGCCTAGGCAGCAGATAGAAAGGGAGAGGAGAGGAGAGATGAGGTGACAGCATGCTAGGGTGGCCATGTCTCCCTGCTTGCTCCCAGTCCCCCTCTCTTAGTATCCACAAGGCTTCCTGCCATCTCCTGGAATGGCCTTTTGGCTGGACAGGCATTACCAGAGCTGCAGGAGCCTCTGTCCTTGTGTGCACCGCACAGAGTTCCTGGCTCCTCCACAGCCTCACCTGAACGGATCCATCTAGCGAACACACTTGGTAGCGATGATTAAGAGGAGCTGCTATAGAGAACAAATCCACTGGCAAGAGGTGGTCCTCAATGAGCTATTGCACTGTTGGTTCTCAGCGGAGCTGAAAAATCAAAGTGAACCACCGCGGAAGCTGTGCTCTCCAGGCACCAAGCTAGGAAAGTTACAGATACGTGGGTGGTTCCCAGGTGAACGATCTCAGAGGGGAGGTTCCGGGCACTACTCTTCCTCCTCACATTCAGCCAGTGTGCTCACTCCAGAGAACAGTTGTAAGACCAGAGGAGGAGAAAGGCATTCTATTTGATCTGCAACGGTGTACTTGAAAGGTTCTCCCAACATCCGCTGCTACCCTGATGCCTCCGAGATGTCCTACACTAGGACAGGTATGATGAACTCTGAGACCCTAAAGGTCAAGTTCACTCTAGAACTACAGAACCAGAAAGGAAGAATCCTAAGCTGCTGCTTGTCCCTGGTTCTGAATGAAATCCACCCTTAGAGATAAAGGCCAAAGGCATTTATCCCAGGCTTGACTTTGGAGAGAAATTAGGCTATCCCCCATTGTCAGTGATTCTGCTTTAATTCCGTCAGACAGCCATTCCTGGGACCCACTCCCACTATAGCTTTAACCCTCCCCTGAGAAAACAAAGCCAAACCCAGTTCAAAAACTTGTTTCCAACCCATGCACACATCCCCCTTTCAGGTATTCAATTACTGGGCTGCCATTTCTCCAGACAACTGCACTTTCCATCAATCTCACCTGCCCCTCCCCCTTGGGGTTATGGGTATTTCCTTTCTGTATTATTACTTCGCTCTCTCCATAAACCAGCCCATCGTAGATCATGCTAATGGCATTATAAACTTGGGGAACAGCAAGAAAATATATGGTGCATTACATCTTTGTATTGAGCATCAGGGGTCTGAGAAGGTGAGTATAAATTTGGGGAGTTGTTAGGGCTACTGGGGCTGACTCCTGTTTAGAATTGATGCCAGGAGGGGGCTGAAGTGGTATTGGGGGAGAAGAAGTGACCTGCAAATCATGCTTTCCTTAGACACTCTAGACCGGCTGTCCCCAAGAGCTTTGCATTCTCCCAATTTCACTGTAACAACTGGGTGAAACAGAGCTTTCATCTTGCAAATACATCAGGGGCTATAAATCTACAAGCCTGTCCCTCAGTCCTCCAGGCAGTCCCAGGCAGCCCCAGCCCTGAAGGCAGTGTTCTCTCTCCCAGCCCAGGAGCATTCTTTATGTCCTTGTTCAATTATTTAAATATGCTATGAAGCCTCTGCCCAAAGGAGCCACTAGCAAGCTGGACAAAGTGGATGGAAAGGCAGCTTCATGGCTTTCCTACATCGCCTTTGCTCCTGGCACTCAGTAACCCACCCTCATTTGTGTGCATTTAAGTGAAGACCACAATATACAAGGGGCCAGACTGTGGACCCGGAGTCATCTGGATCCACCTCCAGAATTTCAAGCTATTAAATATTTGCTTGTGCCTCAAGCCACTGTCCCTCCATATCTTTGGTCTATTCTCACAACT